GGCGGTCAGTTTCAGCAGTGGCTGAATCTGGACGCCAGTTCCGACTTACATACAGATTCAACTTAAGAACAAACCTACAGTCCCTATCTTGTACGTAACCCGGGGACTGCCTGTATAATAGAAAAGTAGCTGAAGGTGGCTGAACCTCCAGGTGTGATTGTGAAAAATGAAAAGCCATCATGGATGATATAACTGAGGAAAAGTGATAGAAATGTAGCCGTGTTAGTCTGGGGTAGTTGAAGCAAAATGCAGGACAATGTAGCACTTTAAAGACTAACAAGATGGTTTATTAGATGATGAGCTTTCGTGGGCCAGACCCACTTCCTCAGATCAAATAGTGGAAGAAAGTAGTCACAACCATATATACCAAAGGATACAATTAAAAAAAATGAACAAATATGAAAAGGACAAATCACATTGCAGAACAGAAGGGGGATGCGGGGGGGTGGGAAGGGGGAGGAAGGAAGGTAAGTGTCTGTGAATTGCTGATATTAAAGGTAGGGAGAGTGGGATGTTTGTGAGTTAATGGTATTACAGGTGATAATTGGGGAAACTGTCTTGGTAATGGGTGAGAAAGTTCATAACTGAGGAAAGGGAATCACATAATCCAAGGAAAGCTAGAAAAATAATGGATGAATATGTTCAGATAACCAGAGGGAAAGTTTTTCTCCTTCTCCTGACATCTTTCAGTTGTGTTTCAAAGATGGGTGCATTTCAAAAAGCTTTATTAAATACTTTTTTGAACTTTTAACTATATTGAACTACTGCACACTAATGAATGCATCTCTCTGGTATGTGTATTAATAAACTATTGGTTTGCTTGCTGGGTAGTTGAAGAGAATTGACCTTTCACCTAAAACCCATCCATTGTGTAGTAGTACTACAATGATATATTAAAGACTAGCTCCATCTAAACAGAGCAATAAAACTGCATGAGACTCTCCTATGTAACTTTCTAAATAAAATTGAGTAATTCAATACAAATTTAAAATACTGTCTTTAGTGAGATTTCAGAAAACAGCTTAAATCTTTGGGTTAGTTTTAAGAAAAGTCATTTATTTTGTTTATATTTAGCTTTATTAAAACTTCCATTTGAAACCTGCTCTGTGCTCCTGTTTTATGTCCCTTATATGAAACACTATTTAAATAATGATATCATATAAAGCTTCCAGCACCAGCAAATCTAATTGAAATTATACTTTACATTATTAATTGTACAGTAATTCCTCATTTAACACTATACACGCGTTTCTGAAAAAGTTCGTGCTAAGCGAAAATGTGCTATGTGGGGTCAATTTTCCCTTTAAAAATAAGGGAAAAGGTGGGGGTTGCATTTCAGGTGATGGTGGCAAAGTCAATTTTTTGTTGGTGCTGGGTCGTCAACGTCACATTAGATATCTAGCAACACAAGATATCTAGCAACACAAGTCTCTGCGGTTTGTTAAAACACAAAGATAAATATGTGGGTGAGTGGAGGAGCGCTGTGACCACGTGTATTCATCCGTTCATGTGTATTACCACTGCTTTCACCAACTTATACTGCCATGTGAAGTAGTCTGCCACTTAATTATTTTCGTGTTATTTCAGGCATGGTCGCATTATTCGAAAAACGTTCCCCCCCAAAAAATCGTGCTATTGCGAAAACATGTTAAGCAGGCACGTGTTAAATGAGTAATTACTGTACTGTACCCACTCAGACCCCTCCATTTCTCAGCTGCCTCCCCAAAGCCTAGAAAAGGGATGGGCTGTTCATCCAAAATCTTTATAAGCCAGGGACTCTGAATCCAGCTTAGGGTTTTAGATGTAATTGACAAAAATGCAAATAATCAGCTTTTATTTTTCCAAATCTTACTCTTAGACTATGTCTATGTGACAGACCTTACAGGGCCACAGTTGTATCACTGCAACTGCACTGCTGTAAGGTTTGCCATTTAGCCACTCTATGCTGACAGGAGATGGCTCTCCCACCAACTTACAGTCCACATCGGAGCTTTTGTCAGCAAAACTTATGGTAGTAATGGTATGCTAATATAGACACAGTCTAGATGTCATTCTTTAGAACAACTGTCTTTCCTTCATTTCAGACTCTCAACTTTGTAGAACATTCAATTAGCTGTAAAGAGAAACTGAATAAAAAGAATAAATGTGGAGCAGCTTTCACTGATGATGGTTTTGCCATGGGTGAGTCGGAGCATACTGTCTAGTTTTCCAGTCGTCCAGTCAGTTGGCAAAATCAAGACTTTTCAAAATAATACTTTGCCACAATTTATGTTTAACATTGTCCATTACTCGTGATTTTAAAATATGAGTTGTCCTTACTTCAGCATGACTTGTGTAGATTATTGCTTTCCAGTTTCAATTTTGTTTATTTAGTTCTTTCTCTCTGTGCATACTGCTAAAACAGATAACGCTTCACCATAGGGAAATGGAATTTTACATATTTCATTCACCACTTGTTTGTTGTTTTAGTGACTGTGTTTATTTCAACATTTTTATTTTCAGGGGATCATGTATACAAGCACTTTTTGTTGTGATATTTTAATAAAGTAAACTTGTTCTTTATTACAGCTTCACAGTTAAGACTTAATTGTAAGATAGCTGCTGTAAAGTGAATAGTCCCAGTATTTATGTTAAAGTGTATATATGGAATATGTGCCTGCATTTGTCCAATTTGCCTTTTGATTTTGGTACATGGTTTGTTAATGACTGCAGGTGTGGCTTACATTCTAAAGCTTTTGGATCAGTATCAGGAGTTTGACTCACTTCACTGGTTCCAGTCAGTCAGGGAGAAGTATGTTAAGGAGATAAGAGCAGTGGCTAAGCAACAGAATGTGCAATCCACTACTCAAGATGAAAAGCTACTACAAACTATGAACCTTACCCACAAACGACTGGAAGTTTGTTTACAGGTACATTATGGTTCCAGTTATACAACTTGTTTAGAACTCCACATTTGCTTGTCTTGGTTCAAGTTATTTATTAGTGCTATAGAAAGCACCATCAAGAATTTGTAGAGACCATTTGACTACTTAATGCTGCCTCGCACAAAAATGCCCCTCTCAATAGAAGGATGAGGTTTGTGGTATTAATTTTATATATAATGCTGTGAGTGTGCATGGTGCTTTAAGATACGTTAAAAGAGAAGTACCTTGCCCCTGAGAGCTTGAAAACTGTAATAGATGTCTCACTTGAGAGAGAATGACTGACCATGGAATTAGGAACTAGGTAGCAATAAACAATACAATGATGTCTGTGTCTATACATAGAGGATCAAAGGAGTGTGATTTATAGCATTAGATGTTATTTCTGTGAATTGTGAAGATGTATAATGTCTCCGCTTTCAAACAGAGGAAGGGCAAGCCTTATTGCATACCTTTTGAAACGTAGTAGCTTCAAGGCACATTTTAGCCTTCTCTGGTGACCCCATTAAAATGGGTTTGCAACTCTCTTTGCAGTCCTGACCCACAGTTTGAGAACCATTGCTGCAGATAATAAATCAGTGATATACTACAACTTACTGATAGTTGCTTCTCTAAATATTTTTCATTAGGAGTTTGAACTGCTTTATTTCTCGCTGAGCAGTGCAAGAATATTTTTTAGAGCAGACAAAACTGCAGCAGAAGAAAACCAGGAAAAGAAAGAGAAAGAAGGTTAGTGAATGTTGTAGGATTTGTTGAGATCTTGAAAGTCTTGTGTCTGCAAAGATACCCTGATAAGGATTTTGTGGCTTCCTGTGCAGTATTGCTCAAAGACTTAAACATGGAACATGCTCTCCTGGTGTTGAGTAACTACATTCTTCATACTGTCATCTGATGTTGCAGAACTGCACATCCCAGCCAATGTTGTCAGACTGTAATGGTAATTCAGGACTGAAAGACATCTGATGGGGATTATATCTGGAGCGGGGTGTATTTTAAGATGGATTATTGAGCCTAGACGGCAGATAAATAGTAATTTCACTTTATGGGCTTAAATGCACTATCATTCTCACCATTACCAGTTTGGTAAAATGTTCCCCTCTACCATCTTATTAAGTCAGTCAAGGAATTTCATTTGAATCATTCCTCATTGCTATTAGCTATAGTTCAGTGGCTGTGATTAGGGCTCTGTGTCTATCATGGACATTACAGAACTTTCTGCAACCTCTATGATTTCTGCAATAGCCAATGTAGCTGACCCCAAGGACAGCCACTCTGGCTGCTGCTGGAGCAGCTCTGCAGCTAACTGCTCAGGCAGCCCTGCTCACAGCCACGCTGTTGCTATTCAGACTTTACCCCCCAAAAAGAAAAAGTTAATAGGGACAAATAATGTGGAAACTTGAGTTAACTAGCCACCGTTATTAATAAAGTAATAAAATATTCCTCTGAAAGACATTTCAAGATAAGTTTTCATAGTCAAGGTAAACTTGTCAGTCATGTGCAAAGTATGAAATGCTGTGAGTTAGATAATATCATAGGCTTTCCCTTCTACATTGAGATCTTAATTTTGCAACACTTTCAAGCACATGTGTAACTTTCCTCATGTGAGTAGTACCACTGATTGGGACTAACCATATCAACAAATGTGTGTATGTAAGTGCTTGTAGGGTCAGGGACTTATTGCTGCACTGACATTTTGGATATCTCAGCCAAGAGTGTAGAACTTGAATGTTCATGGTACATGGCAGGCTTATTTTTAACCATGTCTGGAAAATGTTTGAAAATATAATATTTATTAGTTTCAAATTCTGTTTTTAATTTTTTTTTCTTTTGTAGATGAATCTATTAAAACTAGCAATGGAGACTTCTCCAGTATTGCACCTGCAGATCCTGTTGTGAAATAGTATTGCTGGTATGCATTGTTTGTATGACCTATCAGAATTATTCATTATTCTGTTTTTGCCAATAACTATAGGGATAAAATCTCTAGATTGATTTACCTGCTATGTTAAAATCTATAGAAAATGGTACAATATTGTAACAGTACCTAGTGGGCTACTATAGCTTAGTTTGTGTCCGTATTTCCATTGGAAAGACCTATTTTTTCAGGAGTTTATTACATTATTTACAAAATTTAGCTCTTATCTGAAACTTAGAATGTAAAACCTTTGAGCTTAGGAACAACTTATCTGAAGTTACAGAAATGCTGATCAAAATTAGTAATTTGTTAATTTCAGATGCTTTCTTGCATCCCTAACCTTAAAATATCACTTACAAAAAACCTTCCAGATCTTTGTTCCATGGTTTGCACTAGGCATTTTGAACTCTTCAACAAGGAGAAAACAGTTCAAGACACACAGTTTGCATTTCCAGATCTATTGTCTGAAAAATAATTCGGGTGCTAGGAATGCATCTTTCCAGAGCATATGTGGCAACTAATGCTATAGCCGCAGGCTACATTGTAAAATGCTCAGCGTACCTTGTGAATGTATACGAAATACTGAAACCCTTATTAATGTTAAGAGTATCACACAAAGCCTTTATTCTTCATTAATATTGATCCATTGGCATTATCAGCTCACCTAAGGGCATTAGGGCCCCTTCAGTAGCTCACTTTCCCTGCCTTTTCCTTTTTCATACCAAAGAAGGGGAAAAAGGAAAACTAAGCTAATGTGGAACTGCTTTAGGTTTACATTGAAGGCCTGATTTTCATATACAAAAGTAAGGAAATTCAAAGAAGAGAAAACTAGAGATGATAGTGCTTCCTCTTATGACCAGGCACTGAGTGAACAGTTGTCTGTGAATATTAAGTGATCTTACATTTTATGAATTCTGTAGTACCTAAGCACAAGTTTCAGCCTCAAGTCTGTATCTCCTTACTTTTGTAAGTCTGATATACCCTTTGTGTTGTCCACACAGTCTTACATACTATAGGATCAACAATAATTGCACTGCAGCCTCTAAAAGCTGCTGTACACTGTGAGAATTCTGTATAACTTAAATATGCTTACTACAGGTGTGTGGATTGTGCAAGAGTTACAATAGTTATCCAGATTCCTGACTCAAATGACTAGACCTTATCTTAAAATTAAGTGCCAGTTATCAGTAACCATGAAAAGATACTGTTAAAATTTTTAATCACCCAGAACATAAAACAATGCCTTGCTAGCTAAATAACATGTCAGTTAGACTAACTGTGACTTGCAGGGTTTTTGTTTTTTTTGCATATTTGGCATATTTTATTGGACCACATTTGCCAGCTTCATCATCTCATCATCACAGGGCAAGATGCTGTTTTATAAATATTTCAAAATTACTCCAAAGCTGGTCACTAATTTTGTATATATGACTAATATAATGTACCTTTTATCCCTCTTCCCCAAATCCCAGTGACTGATTCATGTAGAAATTGAGGGCAAATGTTTCGTTGATACAGTACCGAAGGGACCAGACTGCATGGATTTTTTTCCCCTAATGCTGAAAACGTGACCAAAAGCATCATGAACTGTTGTTAAATCCTTTATTTGCAATTTATCGTCATTACTAAGACGGTTCTAAAGAGTGCTGCATAGCCTAATTTCTAATTGATTGATCTGCTTTTTGTTTTGATGAGGTTTTTATACTTAATTTGTAATTTTTTTAAATTATTTGTGTTGAATTTGACCTTTTGGGGCCAATAACAAACATTTTCAGCAGTGCTGCAATTCCTGCTAACTTGCCTGCTCCTGTAATTGCATATCCACATGTTCCCTTTCCAAACCATCTTCATTAGGCTCATTTGTGAAGTGAAGAATGTTGGGCTAGAGAGTTTCTCACTTCTCCTATAGACACGTTCTTATGTAAACATGTCCCTTCATGGCACCACCTATGCTGTAATATAGTCTGCACTTTTCTCTTTTAACCTTTAATTTGGAAGAATGCTATTACAAACCCTTAATATATTGCAGTTAATCTTGGGTAGTGTATCTTCCTGATCTGTACAGTGCTAACAGAGTATTGAGGTTCTGGAGACTGAAATTCCACAGAAAGGACTCAAGACTATTTTTAGAACACCCTGTTTAGAGGTAGAGTATGTGGATATGTAATGTATTTGTGAATATATACATATGTACAATAATATAGGTCTTCTTGCTAATATAGGATTGTAGTTAATGTATTCAGAACATCTCACAATGCAGTAGAATCTCACTAATGGGGAAGAATCCTTGTATGGATTCATTCTATTTCCAGCTGAAAGATGGGGCACACTCCTACATGTGCCAGGGAAGAGAGTTCCACAATCCACCGTTTCACTGGAGATTACAACTGCATGCAGTGCTACTACAGTGCTCTTGCAGCTTGGGTCTAATTGTCGGAGCGAGCCTCTGGTCTGGAGAAGGGAGGCTCTTAGAAAAGCTGCTTTTGCCCCTACTTCACTCAGAAAATGCCACATGTAGTGAGGGAACAAGGATGGTCTCGTTTTGCTGAGGCCTGGTAGAGCAGCTATCTAGCTTGCCTTTTTCTTTCACTTAGCAACGGGAGAGGAGGGCAGGTGATGCAGAAAGCAGCAGTAGCTGGCATCTTTCACTTATTCCTGTGTCTGGGCTTGGTGTCACAGGAAGCAAAAGTGGTAGTAAAAGCCCATGCCTTTCTTCTGACTTGCTGCCATATTTATTCTTCTGTCAAGCAGCAATGATAACCAAGACTTATTAGCCCCCTTCTCCTTCCAGTGTTCTTTCTGCACAACAGTATTATTGGGGGAGGAATCCGAGTAAGTGCTCTAGTCTGATTTCAGAAACAAGGACTAAACTAGAAGGCTGATTCCACAGTGTTGGCTCAACTAACCGCTGACCTGTCTCCACTTCAGTGAGCAACAATGCTGCTAATACGCTTCCAGTGTATAGCTGTAGGCTTGTTGAAGTGCAGCTTCTTGAGACCCTATTGCATTCTGTAAGTTAGAGGGAAATTTGAATTTTTCACCTGACATCCATTGATAACCATTTTCAATTTCTCAGGTATGAAGGACCAAATGTAACATGTATTATCTAACTCATTATACAAAAAGGGTATTTTGTTATCTCAGTCTTTTTGGTTCTGTGAGTAGAGTACACTTTGTACATAGAGATAATAAATGTAATTTTGAGAACATCATTCTTTGATTTTTTTTTTCTTCTGTAGCAGGTGTCTTCTGAAATAGAAGCAAGTTTCAGTTCTCCAATAAAAGTGGGTAGCAGTGTAACTGTTCTTACAAAACAGTGTGTGTGTGTCTTAGTCGTAAAGTGAGTGCATGGTGCTCAATCAAACGTTCATTGATAAATCTGATGAGTCTGGCCCCTCTGCCTTACTGATTCCATGCAAAATGGACATCTGCAAAACTTTTTTGGAAGGCCATCCTCTTTGTCCTGTGCTAGAGTTTAGTATCAGAAAGGCTAGTTTCTTGGTAAGTGCTTGAAAAGAATTTGATTAGAATTGATTGAATTCAGCTGTTCCAGCTAAGTTTTTAAAATGAAACAAATAGAGAATAGTGTGACCCAATGTTGCATGGGTTTTCGTGTTCAGTCTGGTTTAGAATGGGTTCCTGTGATTGACAGACCAACTGCCTCTTGACTGGGCAACACAAAATGGCCAGACCTCCATAAACAGGTCCTATATGATAACACTGCAGATGAAACGGGGAAAAAAGTTAAATTCAGTATGCAGCACACAAAGTGCCTCATTTCAGGCAAATGATGTGAAAACACTAGTCACCATACTATAGATTTATAATCTAGTATTTTATTGGTAGAGTTTTTAATTGAAGACTGTCAGACCTTATATTTCATCATAAAATTAATGTTAACCATACTTAACTCTATAAACATACTGACTTACAACCATTATCCCTGGCTGCTACTTTCAAGAAGCTTAACCATATAAAAACCACACAGAAATAACATGCCAATTCCTTGACTACTTGTGAATTGTTTACATTTTAGTGGAATTTAATAAATCCAGAAGCTGTGTTTCTACCCAGCTATGTTTTTATACATTCTGTAATTGTGTGGTCCCCTTGAAGATGAATAGGCACTTAAATTTATTTTATAAGCCTAGTCTAGGTGCAATACAAAAATAGATTAATAGGAAAAATTAGTGTTTATCAAATTTGTTTTGTAAATAGACTAACACAAGATAAATTCTTGTTATACTTAAACACTAGAAACTAAAAAAAACTTCATCTGAACATAAAGTAAATAGTGCTTTTTGCTTAACCTTCATTCAGATACATACACTATATCATGCAAATTATGGAAATTACTGATGACTACAGGCATAGGTTGGACCTCCCTCATCCAGCCCCTTCAGGATCTGACCAGTCCTGAATGAGGAGATTTGCCAGACCTGGGGAGGTCCCTCCCAACATAGCCCCTACTGCCCCAGGCTAGGGCTCTAGCCCAGCCCCACCGCTGCCTGCCTGGCTGTGGCTCTTTACGGCTACTGGCCCCTGCCCAGACACAGGAGGCCAGAACTCCGTGCTGTGCTGCCTGACCCCTCCCCCCCTTTCCAAACATGGGGCTCTTGGCTGAATCCCTGGCCCTTCTGCCCCATGGCCCGACCTCCCTATACCTGGACTCTGTGGTCCAGGAACATCCGTGGTACTACCTGACCACAGATGTTCCCAGACCAGAGAGTTCTGGTTAAGGAAGGTACAATCTGTACAAAAGTTCTATAGTGGCTTGATTTTCAGAGCAGCTGAGCAGTCAACTCCAATGGAAGTCAATTAAGTGGTGATCAGTACCTCTCAACTAACCAAAAGTATATAAATCTGAAGAATGACATTAACCCTTTGCTCTGAACAGTCAGCATTTTTCAGCTGTCAGCATCAAGGTGCTAACACTGAAACATTCTACAAGATTGTCAGCTGTTCTAAACAAGCAAGTAAGCAAACGCAGAAGGCAAAATTCTGTTCACTCTTATGAATCAAGAGAAACTTCACTCAATTACTCCTTATTCTTGTTAGTGTAAGAGAGAAGAGAATCTGGCCCAGGCTATGCACAAACAGGTGAAAACCAAAGATCTTCGCAAAAAAGATTCCCTGCTTTTCCCCCTTTCCAACAAGTATATGAAAAATTAAAAGTTTATGCTTCTGACTCCTCTCCTGGCTCTTCGGGAATGGCTCCATCCTCTTCAGATTGGTCATTCAATAATTTGAATTTTCCATCACTTGTTAGTGGCATGGACATCATTAATTGAGCTAGTGCTTCTGGATCCTGAAAGGAAGATGTTAATGAACATTAAGTTAAACAAACTGTGGATTGTTTTGTTCTTTTTTGGCGCACATTGCTTCTGTTCAGGTTTGTATTCTCTGAATTGCATATACTTTAAAATACAGCGTTATGTAAATGAGTTTGACCCCAGTCCTGTAAAGATGAATAATCTTTCAATTTAGTAGGATTACTTGCACAGAAAATGAATCATGTGCATGACTGTTTTCAGGATTAAAGCTTTTATTTGCCGCTTCTGCTAGAATTACTATTTCAGTCCTTGAAAAATATGGTGGAAATTGTGGGTAACTTGCCAACTACTGAAGAAATGAGTTTTACCCAATTTCTTGGAAGAATGGTTCTTTGCTTATTGTCTGTGTTCCTGTCAATCTTTTCTATCCATGTACAGAATAAACTTATGTGCATGGAAACATTTGCAAATGTATCCCATCAACAGAAATAAAACCTAAATGTGGGGACTCTGCTAATCAGGTGGGTGGCATTTGAATGTCTCCTGAGTAGTCACACAAGAGTACAGCTAATAGGGAACACTACTTATTGTGTAATTTTTTTCCCAGAAGAAACTTTATATATCTAACTTGCTTTAGAACTCCATTGACACCAGAAATATGTAAGAAAATGTTGGTAAATCATGAGATTTTGATAATCTTCCAAATTCGTAACTTTCTTATGGGTGGAAAAATCTCATCCTTACTTCACAGCCCAGAGGAGAAGAGCAGTAGATAGTTACTGAAGTATTAGTGTGGAAGTTTTTCATTTTTACATGCATTTTTCAACATACACCCTCCCACCCAGTTGTATACATATTTGAATTAGATTGTGGTTGGAGAATTGTCTCAAATAATCCTCAAATCAGACTGCTGCAGTAAATGTAAACCTTTAGGCTGTGTCTACACTGGGCCACTTATTCCGGAAAAGCAGCTGCTTTTCCGGAATAAGTGGCCCAGTGTAGACACAGCCTAAAGGTTTACATTTACTGCAGCAGTCTGATTTGAGGATTATTTGAGACAATTCTCCAACCACAATCTAATTCAAATATGTATACAACTGGGTGGGAGGGTGTATGTTGAAAAATGCATGTAAAAATGAAAAACTTCCACACTAATACTTCAGTAACTATCGCGAAAATGACGATCGGGGCTTTTTTTCCGGAAAAGCATCCTGCCAATGTAGACGCTCTTTTTCCGGAAATACTTATAACGGAAAACTGTTCCGTTTTAAGCATTTCCTGGAAAAGGTGCCAGTGTAGACATAGCCTTACTGTATAGCTGATTGAGTTATACATTTAACACAGACACACGTTTAATAGCAACGATAGTTTTCAGGTCTCATGTATTTTCTTATACATACACACACACACACACTGTGTGTGGGGGGGAATGGATATGTGGTGCAGTCAAATTTGGAGGACATAAATGAGTACTACAATGAGAGATGGGTGAGGAAAAATCAAAACAATATACTTCACCTTTTGAGCCTCAATAATTTCTTTTCCCAAGCTTATTGCATAACAGATCTGCAGAAGAAATAAGTGGACTTAGTAAAAATTAAAACTAAAAATGTATGCTAAGTTGTATGAATCATCATAATTGAAAATTCACCATATTTGAGACTGTTCATATAGCTAAAGTATCTATTTAAAAAATCCTCCAATCATAAAAATGGATGTTAAATAGGTCTGCTTTACAAAGTTAGGGTCTGCATCAATGCTCACTGAAGTCAGTAGAAAGATTAGTAGCTTCAATGGACCCACAGTGACTGAAAGTGTTAAGACGCTCAAGTTTCTGGATATCCATGAAATCACAGGAACAATATGGCAATTGACACAGCCTGAGTCAGGAACCTAGACTCCCTATACAAAGAATGGGAAGAGAAGTCTAAGAACGCAATTCACAGAAGCCAGCATGCTAGCTGAGGAGCCACCTAAGAAGAGATGCCAGCAAGAGGATTGTCTCCTAAGGACTGTGCTGCCTTATGGAGGTAGGTACTTTCTACTTGTTCTTCACAACCAGGAACTCACTACCTTGAATTGGGTGCTTGCCTTTCTCTGCACATCAAAACAGGAGGAGGAAGTGGTGGTTGTGGTGGTGGTATCTACTCTTAACTTCTAGCCCAGTGAGTGGTTAGAGCACTCACATGAGATTAGGGCGGGGAGGGGAACCTCAGGCCTGGGGGCCAGATGCGGCCCCCAGCTTGCCTGGATCTGGCCCACGAGGCTCTGGGCTCCTCCCCACCCCCCACAGCATGGGGGAGCCTGCACTGGTGATCCAGTGTGCACACACCCCCACTGTGGGGCTGGAGCACACAATCTACTAGCCTGGGCCCCCTGGACTCTGGTATGGAAGGGGAATGTGGGGAGTGTCATCATCCTCAGTCAGGGGCCACATCAGTGAGGGTTTTTTTTGTCATTTTTTGCTTTTCACTTGTATGCAGCCCTGGACTGATTTTTCTGTGGGTCAGCAGCTCCTGCCCTAAAAAAGGTTCCCCAACCCTGGATTGGGGTGATTCAAGTTCAAACCACCCCTCTCAAGCAAACGGGAAGACAAGATTTAATGGAAGAGGGCTCTCCCATCTCTCACCAGAACTCTACCTGCTGAGCTATGGCCTATAATGATGGCTCTCCTTGAGTTTCTCCTGTGCATAAATACTTAGTCATTGGGCAGGAGAGAACAATGTTCAAGGGCTAGGGTATTTATCTGGGAGGTGAGAGAGCTCCAGTCTCTCTGCTTCCATGACTTATTTATGCACAGTTGAACAACTTCAACAGGAGAGAGAAACACATCCACATCAGTATGAAACTAGGAGCCAGGCACCTAACTTAGGTGGAGCTGGGCCTTAGTTACTAATGAAAAAGCCCTTCTACAGCAGTAGTCCAAAGAATGCAGAGAAAAAACTGGTGGGTTTGTGCCTCCTATCTTTGTTTCCCCAGTCTTATCTCATGTGTAGCAGTATCCCTTAGTATTAAAACAGACTTATTCTGCATTGTCTCTCTAAGAGATTGTATCTAGGTCCAAGAGATTAGGACAAGAATTAACACTCCCACTTCCTTGTCAGTCTATTTTAACTTAGAGAAAAGACGGGAGAGGTAAGATTTTTTATTGACCCAGCCTCTGTTGATGAGAACCACAGACAGAACTCTTCAGGTCTTGAATGGTCCCCTGGAATAGGTATTAATTGCTTATGCTAAATAATCTGTTGCACCTTGTGTTTAGCCGTGACTTAGTGCACCCTTCCCAAAGCTGAAGAAGATCTCTGGGTAGCTTAAAAGACTGTCTCTTTCACCTATAAATATTGTTCCAGTTCAAGATATTACTCCACTTCTCTCTCTCTCATAGTCTTGGATCAACGCAGCTACACTGCATACAACTAGTGACAAACTTAAGTTTTGCCAACACTTATGCTGGATACTGACTCCTCTCCTAAGACCTGAGAGGGTAGCATCAGCATTCACATAAATTCTGTTCTTAGGTGCTGTCTAGAAACATGCACCTGGAATTAGGCCATCACAGTGTTGTAACTCATTAGACTGAGAGTGGAAGCCAGCTAATTCCATTTATATAACATTCCCACAATATGAGGCTTCTTAAAGACACACTGATGCTAAGATTAATCTTTTTAAAAAGCTGTAAAGAAATACAATATAAAACAATCACAAGACCTTTTCGCCTTCTGTGTTACTCTCAAAAATATTCGCACTTATGGATTCTTCCCCCAGAGACTCGGTGACACGGACCACAAAACCAATTAGTCGCTTGTTATCCTGATGGGCAGCAAACTGCGTCACGCTGGCAAGTTCAAACTAGAAAAGCATATTAGAGAACTTTAAAACTAGCAAAAGCTCAACTAACTTGGAAGACTGATCCTCCTCTGGCATTAAATGTTATCAGTGCCAAGGGAAATGAATCGAAGAGATGTTAGTTATTTAAACGTCACTATCAACATGAAGAATTACTTACAGTTGTTCGTGTAACTTGAGTTTGAGGGTCTATTAACCTGCAATTGTAAAAAGTTTTATGTAAGAATACTGAGCATCTCTGTAAAGACTTTATAAAATGTTTGTACACTACAGACAAAAGAAACAGTGTCATTATACCTATTTAACAGATGGGAAAATTGAGGCATGGGCTTGACTTCATTTGCCCAAGGTCTTGTAACAGGTCAGTGTCAAAGCCAGGAATGAAATTCAGCTCCTCTGACTCTCACTCCAGGACCCTTGCTCTTGACCATGATGCCTTTCTGATGACATGGGAAACCTGGATAGCTTATGAGCCATGAGCTAGTACTAGATAAGTTTGTATTTGTACACTTTCAAATTCATAACATCCCAAATAAAGTTTTTTTTCCCCAAACACGTGAGACTTAATTTGTGCACAGGCTTCCCTATCAAAGTTTTGATGGGGAAGACAGCTTTGCTGCTATTTTAAAGCAATAAAAACCAGACAAGAAATCTATTTTGCAGTAGTGTTTTAAATTCAAAGTGGGTAGGAATATTTGCACAGTGGTTCTCTGCTTGAAGTAATATAAAGCCCTACTGCATCCTGAAAACTTGTATGGGATGATTTCTGACAAGCATGAGACAAGAAAGGACCCACTTTAATTTGAATCGGAGCCCTCTTACAAAAGCATGGCCATGGGGCCCACTGAAGTAACAAATCCTGAGTTTCAAACTTTTAGAGCAATTTTTTGGATTTGTCTATTGCTAGAACTTACATTATAACTATAAAGAGATACGAGTGCTAGGCCCACTCACTGATCTGTTACAAAAGACAATGGTTGTAGTGTGGTTTCTACATAACCCTTCCACTGAAGGGACAATTAGCTTTCCACGTGCAAGTCTCCTATCCTGTAAGGAAAAAGACTGTGTATTTAAAACACCCTGTCATCTGTATATACAGGCCGGACCTCCCTAGTCTGGCACCCTTGGGGTCCGATCGGGGGAGGTCCCTTGCCACCGGCCTCCCAGGATACTATCCCTCCCTCTGGCTGGCTCTCTTCTACCCCTACTGCCATTGGGCTCCAGCCCTGCTGCTACAAGGTTTGGGCTCAGCACACGACTTCCAGCCAGCTGGGGCTATCTGGGGACGGAGCTCCCTAGTTGCCATGGGCCTGCTTTGGCTCCTCTTGGCGGAAGCTTCGCGGGAGCCTCCCCGTCTGTGGCTCCGCCTGCTGCTGCTGCTGCTGCGCCTGACCAGGGCTCCTTGGGGACAGAGCTCTGGCTGCTCCACAGGGACAGGCCTTGCTGGTCCCACTACTGCCTTGCCTAGCCCTGGCTCTCTGGGGACAGGCTCACTGATCTGATGGTGGTGCTCCCCTCCACTGGACTCCCAGACTGGCTTGCATTCCCAGGGGTTAGGACTCTCTGATCCAGCAACATCCGTGATCCTGCTGGAGTCTGGATGTTGCCAGACCAGAAAGTCCCGGATTTAAGAAATTCAACCTGTACCTTAATGGAAAACAGAAGTATGGTAGGGCTAAGAGTGTTAAGAATTGTATTCTACCTGAGACTCTTGCTGGTGACCATGAGATGGGATTCAGTTGTACGGAAGATGTTATGGATGGCACGAGCTGCCAATACTTGTCTCATAGCTTCATAAATCACCTCATTTGTATCATCTGATTGAACAGCCATAGATCCTAAAAACCGAACTACAAACATCTGCTGCCAGAGTGAATCTGGAAAACAAAGGAAAAGTCTCCTGCACTGATTCATGCCTGTGTTCAGAATTATCAAATATCCAATTTTACTGCTAGAATTGTTCTGCTGAAAAACTATGGTTAATTACCAGGTCATATCTTGGGATAACTGTGCCTTTCACATTATTGCCTCTTCAATCATATTCTTTTGTTAGCCAGGTTTTGGTCTGACTCAGCTTTACAAAATGCTTGGATTACATTCAAGTAGGGAAGTAATAGTGTAGTCGATTAACAGATAAGCAAAAGCTTATAGGTTAATGCTATATGCTATAAGCATTTCTCCCCCCACCGTAAATTTTTTAGAAGGCTGGCCAGCTCAGTCCTGGCTCACGTTGGGTCTGGGGCCTACCCCTGCTATGGCTCTGCATTTAAAGTGTATTAGGAGTCGGGCAGGCAGACAGCCCAGCTCAGTTCCAGCTTGCACCGCTTTAAGACAAGGGCTGCTGCCTCTCTGAGGCAGCAGTGTGGGGTGACAGGCAGCAGATCTGCGAGGGGAGCTGGTTTTTAAACTGGTTCCCCTCAGAGACCAGCTCCTGTTTGGCACCCCACACTGCTGCCTCTGACACAGAGGCAGCAGCACAGAGTGGCAGGGGGCTCCTTGGGAGTAAGGCACACTGGCTGCTGGCCCCGCGTCCAGGGACTATAGAATAGTCAACTAACCGATAAGAATTCATGAGGTTACTCGACTATTCAGTGAACCAATATTTAACATCCTTGCATGCAAGTGCAACAAATAAGGATTACAGCAGACATTTTATGCGAAAGTTATAACTGATTAATATTTTACGAAAGTGTTTTTTTGACTTGCTGTAATAATACATTTGGTCTTTCACAGTTGCTCCAACTCTGGGAATGGTTGATTATTAAGTTATTGGACTGACTAGCCAAAGAATGAAGAATATTTGTGCATAAAGCATCATCTTAAATCAAGCTAATCCCTGTTTCTAATCCTCATGTGGAAAAAAAAATTCCAATGTGTTTTATTCTTTTGTTTCCTTTGGGGGTTGATAGGAGCCGAGTGAATCTCTCCTCTCTTTTCTCTGGGGGAATCTTTAATTGCTGCTTTCCTGTTCTAGTGAGGCCCTATCCAGCCTTCTTTGCTTAGCTTAGTATGCATTAAGTATCCATCTCCATCGCAAGCTTTTATTATTTGTGCACTACAGCAACACCCATAACTGTAAGGCCCTACCACATTCACAATACATTTTGGTCAATTTTACAACTGTAGGATTTAAAAATTAGTTTCACAGGTTCAGAACACCTGAAATTTCATGGTGGTGTAACTGTGAGGATCCTGACCCAAAACGAGGCCGTAGAGCAGCTGTCACCAACCGGTAGAGGTAGCTCTGATTTCTCCCGTGCCAGTGACTGTACAGGGGAAGAGGATATCCCATTCCTAATGACCCTGGTGGACTAGTAGCTGGCAGCCAGTGCATAGTAGGTATCCCCTGTTGGGGCACCCCTAGCCCTGCCCCACTCCATCCCTAATAGCTAGCTTTCATGGGGGAGGTCTGATTTCACTGTCCATGTATTCAGTAAGGCACCACCCATAATTGTCAGTTGAAATCAGGGCCCCTTTATATTAGGTGATATACAAGCTAACAAGGTACGAGAGAGTTCCTGCCCTAAAGAGTTTACAAGGTAAGGCCCCAATGTTGAAAAGTCATTTTTCCTGTGTGCTTTGAGGCCCCTCCCTGGCTTCAAGGGGCTTCCATACTGGCAGACAAAAGTGTCTGCTTAAGTGACTCTGATTGCAGATTTGGGGCCTATAACAGGATGAAGTTATGCAGGTAACACCAGTAATCCCTACTAACCTCCTGCCTTCCTCTGTGTAGCTCCTCATCATCTCACCCCTCCCACCAAATAAAATTACCCCCCCCCAAAAAAGAACTACAGGTTGACCCTCCCTAGTCCAGCACCCTTGGGACAGGACAGTGCCAAACCAGAGTATTTGCCGGATCATGGGAGATCAGTATTGCCTAGCAGCGTTACCAATGCTTCCACTGCTTACTGGGCCCTTAGAAGGCATTTAGGGGTAAATTAGAGCTAAATAACAGCACAGAGTCAGGACTGGTGGCTGTAAACAAACTTTATAGGACTGCAGGAAACCTGGCCACACCCATGATAAGTGGACATCAGGCTAACTAAAATTATGCTGGGCCACAGATGATGCTGGACCAGAGAATGCCAGACTAGAGAGGTTCAATCAGTAAGAGGGTCTTCTCAGCAAGGCCAACTTATCTGTAGAGTGGTACAGTGGGCCCCAGGGGAGTACCAAAAAAGGTCAGAACTGTACAAGATTATTTTTAAGAGGGAGGAGGGCAGCATAACCCTATCCTGGATCTCAGTGATGCACAGAGATTTTAATCTGCGGTAGCAGGTGGAATTTAGAGGAGTTAGAAAAAGCAGATGTAAAACAGTTCATACCGCTATCCACACCATTAAGATTATTGCCCCTCTACAAAGGACATTGATAGGGATTATTTACAAAGTTGAGAGTTACCTTTTTAAAATGCTTGTTTGTTTCTCCTCTCCCCACCCAAACTTTCATTAAAAAAACTCTACTTGGGAATGAGATGTGCAATGTCAAGGTGGGGTTGTTTGAAAAACAGGCTTTTTAGAAGAAGCTAGCTTCAGCTTTAACTACAGAGCTGTTCCCAGTGCTTCATGATACCAGATGTTTTTTGTGAAGGATGCAAAGTAGTAGTAGATTAACTTAAACCTAAGATGGTGATAGCAACTGTAATATTACAAATAAAGTGTTTACCTTCCTCATCATTCTTGCTGTCTTCAGATTCTCCAAACGGGTTTGTGCGCCTAAAAAAGGTTTTAAAAAAAAAATTACAGATAAGTGCTCAGTGCAGCAGAACTGCCATTTGAGTTTATGAAAGTTCTCATGGTTTTAATCCTAGAATCCTAGGACTGGAAGGGACCTCGAGAGGAAATCAAGTCCAGTCCCCTGCCCCCATGGCAGGACCAAATACTGTCTAGATCATCCCTGATAGACATTTATCTAACCTACATTTAAATAGCTCCAAAGATGGGGATTCCACAACCTCCCTGGGCAATATAGTCCAGTGTTTGACTACCTTGAAAGTTAGGAACTTTTTCCTAATGTCCAACCTAAACCTCCCTTGCTGCAGTTTAAGCCCATTGTTTCTTGTCCTATCCTCAGAGGCTAAGGAGAACAATTTTTCTCCCTCCTCCTTATGAAACCTTTTTAGATACCTGAAAACTGCTGTCATGTACCCCCTCAATCTTCTCTTTTCTAAACTAAATAAACCCAGTTCTTTCAGCCTTCCCTCATAGGTCATGTTCTCTAGACCTTTAATCCTTCTTGTTGTTCTTCTCTGGACCCTCTCCAGTTTCTCCACATCTTTCTTGAAACGTGGTGCCCAGAACTGGACACAATACTCCAACTGAGGCCTAACCAGCACAGAGTAGAGCGGAAGAATGACTTCTCCTGTCTTGCTCACAACACATCTGTTAATGCATCCCAGAATCATGTTTGCTTTTTTTGCAACAGCATCATACTGCTGACTCATTCAGCTTGTGGTCCACTATAACCCCTAGATCCCTTTCTGCCATACTCCTTCCTAGACAGTCGCTTCCCATTCTGTATGGCTGTGTCTACATTGGCACCCTTTTCCAGAAAAGGGATGCTAATGAGACCAGTCGGAATTGCAAATGCTGCGGGGGATTTAAATATCCCCCGCGGCATTTGCATGAACATGGCTGCCGCTTTTTTCCAGCTCGGGGCTTTGCCGGAGAAAAGCGCCAGTCTAGACAGGATCTTTCGGAAAATAGAGCCTTTTCCGGAAGATCCCTTATTCCTGATTTTAAGAGGAATAAGGGAGCTTCGGGAAAAGGATTGATTTT